TTGGTGGTCTGTTCCACAATCAGCCCCCGGCCTAGTTTTCACAGCTAATATTGAGCTTCTCCAGTGGTTCCTTCCACAGATGTGATCGATCTGATTCCTATGCATACCATCAGGTGAAATCCATGTGTATAATCAGGTTCATCCTGGAGAGGGTTAAACCAGGCTTCTCCTTGGAGTCAAGGATTCTGAAGCTTCATCTGACATACCTTGGACAAGCTGCAAGAAGGGAATAATCCTTGGAGAAGGACGTCATGCTTGGGAGTGTGGAGGGACAGCACAGAAGAGGAAGCCTCTCTATGAGGTGGATTGATTCACTGACTGGGGTAATGGGTATAGGTGTGTCAGAGACTGTGAGATTGACACAGGATAGAGCAGGGTTTAGGGCTGTTGTATATAGGGTCACTGAGTTGCAGGTGACTTGATGGCACATAACAACAACAATAACAACATCTTACCCTTACCGTGCTAATTTATTAAAGGAGAAATTAGCAATACGGCATTTTATTACTGCTGTTGTTGGGTGCTACTAAGACAGTTCTGACTCACAGTAACTTAGAATAGAATTGCCTCAATGGGTCTACTACATTGAAATCTTCAAAGGTGTAGATCATCAGATTTTTCTTACTTCGAAGCCATTGGTGGATTCAAAACACTGACTGTTATGCTAGCAAAAAAGCACATAAGCATGGTGCCACCAGGCTCTTTACATTAGTACTGTTGTTGTGTACTGTCAAGTTGGTTCTGACTCACAGCAATCCTATAAGACAGCAGAAAGGCTGTTTTTACATACATACATGCACATATATCAATTAAATGAAAAGAAATAAGGATTATATATAACATAATGCATGAGAATGATCATATGAAACACAAGGTGAATGAAGAAATGTGTGAAATATAATGTATATCAAGTAAACACAATGTATACAAATTTTGTATATAAACCAATATAAAATATTTTTAATATAAAAAAGCAAGAAGGTAAACAAATTGGAAGATAGTCTTAACATATATACAAATTATATACCCAGTTTAGTTATTAGTTCTCAATTCTTGTTATCAGTTATTGGAACTCAAGTTTTCCTCTAATATTTTTATCATCATCAATAAATGAGGTTATAAGTAAGAAAAAAAAAAGAAAGGCTGTTTTTGAGACTATAATCTCTATGGGAGCAGACTGCCAAATCCTTTTTTGCAGAGACAATGCTGAGTTTGAATTGGTGACCTTTTGATGAGAAGCCAAGTGCTTAAACACTGCAACACCAGGTCTCTCTATTATTATATAAACCAAAACTACACTATCAAGTCAACACTAAACCACAGTGCCCAACAGGGATAGAGAAGAACTATCCTGTTGGGTTTCTAAAGGTGCAAATCTTAACAGAAGCAGACTGCTTGATTTTTCTCCTGTGGAGATGCTGTGGGTTTAAACCACCAACTTCTCAGTTAACAGCTTAACACTTAACCCACTATTCCAACAGTGTTCCTTAGTAAGAACTAATTGTCACAGAGTTAGAACTTCATAGAGGACTCTCCAGCAGCATTTGGGAGACTGTAAATTATACATGAGTAGATCGCTCATCTTTCTCTATCTGAGTTTCTATTGGATTTGAACTGCCAGAGAGGTACTTCCTTTGGATTAACAGCACGACTCCCTGTGGATTGTGCCACCGGAGCTCCCCCAACGATGAGAGTAGATGATGTATGTTGAGCACAGAGCTCAGTCCTGGCATTTAGTAATTGTTCAATAAATGTCAGATAGTAATTGGAAAAATAATTGTAATGGCAAATTGTTGTGGTATTTGTCTAAGTCAAGGGACTTCCTTATTTAGATGAATTATCTAAAATGCCTAGTAGGAATAAAGTTTTTAACTAATTCCTTTCCACCCTGTAACCCCAACATTCTGGTTTAACAAGTGTCAAAAGAAAAGTATTTCAAAACTTCTTGTTATGTGCCGTCGAGTCGCTTGCAACTCATAGCAACCCTATGTACAACAGCTCTAAACTCTGCTCTGTCCTGTACCAATCGCACTGTCTCTGACACACCTACCCCCATTACTCCAGCTACTGAATCAATCCACCTCATAGAGGGCCTTCCTCTCCTGCGCTGTCCCTCCACCCTCCCAAGCATGATGTTCCTCTCCAAGGACTGGTCTCTCCTTACAACATGTCTAAAGTATGTTAGACGGAGCCTCAGAATCCTTGCCTCCAAGGAGCTGCCTGGTTTAACCCTTTCCAGGATGAATCTGTTTGTTTTCCTAGCAGTCCATGGGTACCCTCAATACTCTTCTGCAGCACCACAGCTCAAAGGCATCAATTTTCCTTCTATCCTCCTTAGTGTATGAAATATTTTTTTAAATTAGTCCATTTCAAAGACTCAGAAACATATATACTTTACCATTTCTTACCTGTGTCAAGTTTCTGTAGAATTTGGGGATCATTATAATAATACTCATTGACCATGAATCAATGTAATTGGAAATATAAAACTTTAGGAAATAAAAAGATCGCAAACTTTAAGAAATATATACATCGTATACAATGTATACAACAACAAGAAGTAAAAAAATAAAATGTGAATTATCTGTTTCATTAAATGAGTAATCTAATCTAATCTTTTTCTCAGAAATGTAATGCTGATAACATTTTCATTAATTTGAAGTGCCTGGCAGTTGGGTTCTAAAGTTTTGCCACCTCATCATAATGAACTTAATGTTAACTATTTGTCATTGTTGTTAAGTGTCATCGAGTGAGTACAACTCATTATGACCCTATTCTATAACTATCATCATTTCTCTAATGTTCACAGATTTTCCAAAGGCATGTTTTTTAGGAAGTGGATGCCAATCCTCCTTCCAAGCCTGTCTTAATCTGGGAGCTCTACCAAACACTGTCCACCATGGGTAACCATTATGGCATTTGAGACCCCAGTGGCATAGCGTTCAGCATCACAGCAACCCCAAGTTACCTCAGTAACAGACCAGTGCTGTACCTCTTAGAAGAATGTTCTTCCCAAACACAATTAACACCAGACCCTAGAAATTTAAAATTCCTGAGATTACAAATTATTAAAGGAAATTAAAAATAGCTTCTAATGCATTAAATATTTTCACATATTTCTAGGAAGTTTACTCACAATTGCCACAGGGTCATTACTGCGAGTTGCAGCCAAGCTGAATTTCTTCACGTGAATATTGGTCTCCAAAGCCTTTGCAAATTCCTTCAGGGTTGGAATTGGAATGTTCTAAAATGGGAAAGGCACAGAGAGTTGAGGGATCATTCTGTAGCCCTTCCACCTCACGTTAAAGACTCATGATTTTACCATAATTTACATGTTTAGGTGGTTAACAGTATGCTAAAGCCAAAACCAAATCTACTGCTGTGGACTCGATTCTGACTCATGACAGTCCTTCATTGTGTTTCATGAGAAATGCATAAAATATAGAAGTTATCAGTGATTTAATTTTACAATCAACACTCAAGCAACAGTCAAGAAATCAAGAGTTGCTCCATTGGGAAAATGTGCTGTCAAAGACCCCTTTAAAGCGCTATAAAAAGCAAGGATGTCAGTTTAAAGACTAAGGCATGTCTAATGGAAGCTATGGTATTTTCAATTGCTTCTCATGCATGTAAAGGTTGTACAATTGAATAAGGAAGGGAGAAGAATTGATGCCTGTGGTGTTGCTGAAAAAGTACTGAATATATCATGAACTACCAAAAGAACAAACAGGTCTACCTTGGAAGAAGTGCTCCTTAGAGGCAAGGAAGGTGAACTTTTGTCTTACATACTTTGGGAATGTTGTAAGAAGGCATTAGTCCTTGGAAAAAGACATCTTGGAAAAGGAGGGTCAGCAAAGAGTGGAAGACCCTCAATGAGATGAACTGACATAGATAGTAAAAATGGGCCTGAGCATGGCAGAGCTCATAGGATGGGCAGGACTGGGTAGAGATTCAATCTGCATGCGGTCACTATGAGTTGGAGTTGACTCATCAACACCCAGGAATGACTACATGAGAGAGGAAACAGCCTCATTTTTTTTTTCTCCAATGGGTTGGCAGGTGCATTTAAACAGCTGACCTTTTGATTAGCATTCCTATATATAATCTCCTACATAAGTACATATAATCTCCTATATAACTCCATAATGTTGTTGTTATGTGCCATTGAGTCACTTGCGACTCATAGTGACCCTATGTACAACAGCACTAAACTCTGCTCTGTCCTGTGCCAATCGTACTGTCTCTGA